TCACTACCACCCCTTTACTTCTCCTTCAATTTCTGTTGTTTGAGAGATGGTGGCACTTTGTATGCCCCCATATTTGTCTATATTTGGGTTAGCCTGTTTTACAATTGCGTTAATAAACGGCCAAATAGTTCCAACTATTTCATTCTCTGGTCTGGTTTGCATTATTGGTCCCAATCGTGTCCAACAAGCCGAATTCAAATATTATTTATTATTATTATTATTATTTATTATTATTATTATTATTATTATTATTATTATTATTATTATTATTATTATTATTATTATTATTATTATTATTATTATTAATTATTATTATTACTACTACTATTACTTTTATTGCTATTTTTAATACAATTTGGCATTGTTATGAAGTATTGTTATGATTCATATTATCACCAACACCACTACGACTACTACAGACACTACCAGTGGTGACGCCACAATTTGTCGACAAGGGTCGAACAAGTCCTACAGGTTGTCCGAATGACCTGTAGTAGAACCCTCGAAATACAATCAGTAGTGGGAATCAATCAATCAATTAATCAACCAATCAATCAATCAATCGATCCATCCATAAGTCAATCAATCAATCAATCAATCAATCAATCAATCAATCAATCAATCAATCAATCAATCAATCAATCAATCAATCAATCAATCAATCAATCAATCAATCAATCAATCAATCAACTTATTGATTATCAAAATAACACCTTAAGATCGCCGTCATAAAAACTGACAATATCAAAATAAAAGACTAAAACTAGGCAAGCAGTTATTATTGCTAAACGATACTGATGAGAAATTGGGAGAGATTTTATGGTTTAGATTTGGGACTACTACTACCACTGCCACGTTATATAGGCCTGTGCTCCGACTCTTGGAGTTCTTAGGTGATGCTTTACCTACCAAAACTATATCCAAAACCACTACTACATTTTTCTAATATCGTTGGCATATTTTTTCAATCATAGGTGACACCGCACTGCCATTCGGTCTATTATGAAATAGAATCAATAGTATATTAATTTGTTCTTATTGTTTTGCTTAATTGTTGATTATTTGTCATTTTTTTTTTTGCTAATTGATCTGTGTATTATTTTTTTGTTTCTAAATGTAGAGACGGTAAGGGGTAGTACTCATTTGTGTTTAATTTTGATAACGCCTCGACTACATTTCTCAACTGTGTCTGACTATTCGTTTGATGATCATACCGGTATTTATCTTTGTAAGTTTCGTAAATGGTTTTGATACCGCTCCGTAAGTAATGAATGGAACAAAAATATACGCTTTCGGTCGTTAAACACATCATTTTATTTACTGCTGCCGTAGCATTTACATCAACTATAGTGTTGCAAGGTAAGAATCTTGTTGCATAATTACAATAGACAGGCCAACATGGATGATGAGAGTGAGTGACTGAGATATCGTGTGGTGGATAGATTGTACCTTTCTAATCCCGAGCTACTCGGATTAGTATCAAGACCTTTATTGTCTCAACCAATAAAAGCTCTCCAACAGTTATTCCAAGTTTTACGAATTTGCAAAAGCGTTATAAAAACTCCTACCAAGGGAAGGGATGCTTTCCCGTCCAGAAAGATGCGCTACAACATCCTACTAGGTACTCATTTATACTTCCGAGTGGAATGATACATTAAAGTGCTTTACACAAGTGTTATACACCTACGAGCAGGGACATAGGCAGGATTTTGAAGTGGGAGGGGAGACGTTATCCGAGGTACGTAAGACCCCGGTGGGGTTCCAGGAGCGAAGCCCCCTGGGAAGTAGCGCACTCTGAACGTTTTTAGGACTGTTTTGAGAAGATAAAGTAAAAATTGTAATAGACGTGTCATAAATAATATTAGTAAGCCTAACAATATTTATAATAATAACTTGACATTTGAGGATCCAGGAATTTGAAAGAGAGGTGACCCAGGAAGGGACTTTCACTGAAGAACCACCCACCTCAGCCCCACAATATTTGGGGCCAAGATAAAAAAACAAAAATATGATTAGGGCACCTCTAGATGGCTGGAAATTACACTCTCAAACTCAGTAAATTTGAATATATTTTTCTCTTTTTTCCATTAAAGAAATTCAGAGGGACTGGGGGCCTTTAAATCCGCCACTGCTCAAAACATTCTTTGTCCAAAATAGTCATAATCACAAAAAATGGCCATGGAAAACCAGATCAAATCCTAAAAAAAATGTATGTAGCCTCGCTTCACAATCACTAAGACATACTCTGAGTCAAGTGCCGAACTCAATGGAGTTTAATGTCATACCCAGGCAGGGAAATGTACAGATCTGTTTTGAAAGGTGGTGTGTGGTGGGGGGGGGGGGGAATTTCTTGAATCAACGCCCATCTCAGACCCACCATGGGTGGGGATGAGGTCGAAAATGTAAGGAAATAGTAACTTTAGATGGCCAGAATGACACTTCATCATCACATCAACATTATAATATAGTCAAAATGATCTTTCATCAGGGATTTTCGGCAACCATAGAGATCTGATTAATGTGTGATGTACCATAGAAAATAAAGCTTAAAAACATTGTCTTTGAGTATGTAGCTTACATAAATCTAAGCCGTGATTTCCCAGCCACCTCGGCCCCAACATGATTGGGGCTGAGGTGAGAAAATGTTGAGAAATAGTACCTCTAGATGGCTAGAAATGACACTCATATATTATAGTAAAATTCATCATCACCACATCACCATTATATAGTCAAAATTTCTCATGATGTTTTACCAGAGATCTACTTAGTATTCAGGACAACTTATAAATATAGCTTTACCCTGCTTTAAACTATAATAATTATGATCAACAAATCACAACTTTCCTTTTCGTCTTTTGCACACTTTTTTCACTTTTTATTATTTTCTTAAAAAACCTGACCTGGGATTTATGGATTTAAATTTTTTTCAATCACGCCCATGTGTTATAATTATAGTAGACCTATTAGGCCTATATGTGCTGATGCATATTTGCATTTAGAAGTATTCTTTTTGAGTGATTCCAGGAAAGAATATGTATTGGCTAGCATGAACAAGCTTTAAAATTTTAACACTGTGTACAAAGGGGGGAGGGGAGCCCCGGCCCCCTGGATACGTCCCTGCTTACGAGGTCTGATAGCCTCAACGTTAAGAGTCCGAACTGAACCGCAGGGCCTACTCTGACCGCTCCCCCAAAATCACAGAAGTCGACCAAATAAATCGTAGGCACTTAATGTATAGGCTCTAACAGTGGCAGATTTAGGTGGGTGAATACAGTTGCTAACCACCCCTCCATTCTTAAAACAAATTCTAAATTATAGAGTTTTAAATTTCGGTCTAGGCTAGACTTTCTTTCAAGGCTAGCAGGGCCTTGGTCAAAACATGATGCAGACCTGTCTACCTTTTTTTTTATTGTCAAAACTCCGTTTTACATGTAAGAAGTCAGACAGAATAATTCTTGACAATAGCAATGAATGGAAAGAGAAAGCATGGCACCCCGAGAGAGATACGAAATTCTAAACTTCGTTTAAAGAATACTGAATTGGAAATTATTCATCATTTTATTAAATTTTGTCAGAAATCATTATTATACTATTGGTACATCATTACTTATATGTATGAATTCAGACCACATTTGTAAAATTTGGTTTTAAAGTCCTGTTTTATATCAACATACATTCAATTTTTAGCTTTCATAATACTGTTGATGAAAAATAAAGTTTGATACATTAAAGGAAAACGTATCCTCTGTTTAAAAACATTTTTGTAAGATATTAAATAATTTGTTGCTATGGCCTGTCCAAATACAAAAAAAGACGTTCTAGCTGTGTAAATGCAGTTCACTATTTTAGATTCAAACTATTGGTTTTGCCTTTAAATAAAGATTCCAGTTTCAACGTGCATTTAATTATTAGTTTTCACAATAATTACAGTCTATGTAATTTTTGAAATTACTGATAATAATTTATGTGAAGGTGGATATTTCTTTTTCTGTTTGATACATTTACGTGATAGCCCTGTCTAAATGCAGAAATTCAACCTTAATTATAACATCATCCGCTTACTATTTATATCCTTATAGTTGATCGTAGACCAGTGAAGAGGTCAAAGATGAAATAATTGACTTGTGCCAGCACTCTGTACGGAATATAAAATACGTATCATCTCAACCTGATTGGCTTAGAGGGCGATATAAACTTGTTCGATTCGAAGATGTAGCAAGTTTTCCACATGAGTGCGCAAGACAAATTTATCAATTCTTGGGAGTAGAATATCCACTTGTATTGGATGGATGGATAAATGAAAATACTAACAAGGATACAGCGAATCCATATGATACTAAACGAAAGTCGGCTCGCATCATTAATAAGTGGAGGAATGAGATGGACTTCAACAAAGTGAACGAGATACAAAGAAAATGTCCACAAGCCATGACGTCATTAGGATATAATTTAATGAATGAAAGTCAACTTGTGAATATCGACGATTATGAATCTTATCTTAGACCTGAAGAGTTATCTTTCACAAAGCTCCATGGCATTTTTGTCAAGATTAATAATTAAGTTTACAGTTTTATACCTTTTATTTTCAGGTACGACTTCAAATTGTAAAAGGGTATTAAAATTGTCAATAAAAAATATACCGAAACTTATATTATTATTAATAATATTTTATTGTATTTTATTATTGCTATAATTATTATCATCAATGTTATTATTATAAATGTTCCACAAATCAATTGAGGTATATTTAATTATATACTAGATAGTGTATTGTAATTTCTGTTCTGTTTTTTGTAATTATCAAATGAATTTTCTTGCAAAGATATCAATAATCGGAAAATACTGGACTTGGTATGTAAGGTCACTGCATTGTAATTATTTTCAGTCGTGTTAAAACATCAATAATCCCCGAAGCGATATAATGTCAATCTGCATTTAGTTTATAAACAATTGCATTTTTGTTTTAGTATGAAATAGTGTCGTCGTTTGATAGTGAGAGGTGTCACACTTCGATCAATCTCTAACCGATCAATTATGGCTTCGATACACAAAACCACAAAACGCCATATCATTATCCTGTTAAACTCTGTGCTGTATCAGGAAAATTTTATTAGCTAAGCTATCATTAACTGTTGGTAAGCATCATTACTGTTATTATTAGTATTAGTATTATAATGATCGTTATAATTATCAAGGACACCAGTATTGTTAATATTATTATTATTATTATTATTATTATTATTATTATTATTATTATTATTATTATTATTTATAAGATCCGTCTCACTTATTATAACTAAATCTAACTGTTTTAATGCTAACTCCTTTAGCAAAGTAGATTCATATAAGCTGTGAAAGCTAGGCCTATGTTCACTTAACTGTGTAGGAAAAGAATTCCACTTTGTGTCAAGTTTACAGTGATCTTCGTGAGATTTATCGGGGAAACATTATTATAACAATTCCACACAGCAGAAATACACTTTTGTTGTTTTTTATATTTACTATTTACTGGTACTTTACTCTGCAGCATGAAAACACGTGTGTTGTTGCCTAAAGAAATAAAAAGGACCTCGTGTCTAAATGATGACTCAATTTTATGTTTATTATCATCAATTCAATTAATACAGCAATCATTCAATTTATTAGGAAATGATACCCTATCGGTGGTACACACAAAGATGGTACATCCAAATTGACAATCTCAACAAAATAAACTTAGACTATAAAACTTAGCATGAAGTAAAATGTTTAACACTGTCGCTAATCAATGTTGCTGAGAAATGGGGATATAGATTGGTTTAGAATAGAAAGTTGTGCTTTTAGACCAATATTGGGAACGACACTATGACCATTCCTGATGATGACAAAATTAATGTCGAAATATTGAATCCCGACACGATGGCGTGCATTTCGATACTTAGAGTATGTATTATACTACCGGTATCTTACCTGAGATTAATCAGTGGACGTTTCGACTACTACTACCACTACCACGTTATATTCCTATTTTTACTTTACCCACCAAAACCACTACTACTATTACTACATCCCAATATCACTCTGCGCCACTCTATTAAGAAATTAAAATCAATACCACATTAATTTATTCCTATTGTTTAGCTAATTCGTTGATTACTTGGTATGTTTATTTTGTTAAATAATGACCATTTTAATTTTACCATTTGATCTGTGTATCATTTGTTTAATGTATTAAATGCAAGTAGTCCTCATTTGTGTTTAATACTGATAATGACTCGATTACATTTCTCAACTGTATCTGACTAGGCCTTTTCGTTTGACCATCATACAATTTATTTATCTTTATAACACATGCCTACATATTGTTGATACCGCTCCGTAGGTATTGAATGGAACAAAGATATACGCAATGCATTCGGTCGTTAAACACATCATCTTACTTACTGCTGCCATAGTATTTACATCAAGTATATTGTTGCAAGGTAAGAACTTTGTTGCATTATTAAAATAGTTAGGCCAGCAGAAGAGATATCGGGTGCTGGATAAGTTTACTCTCTTAATCCTAATTTCCTGGGATTAATTCAAGCCAATATATCAGGATTTATTATTGTCCCAATCTAAAACAGCTCTCTTAAAGATTCCAAGTTTGGAAAATTTGCAAAACCGTGAGGCTTGTTATAAAAACTGCTATCCTAAAAAAGGAATACTCCCCAGAAAAATGTCCTACAACATCCTACTAGGTACTTATTTATGCTTCCGAGTGGAGAGATACAATAAAATGTTTTACACAAGTTTAATACACTGTACGAGATTTGAACCAACCTCATTGTTGAGAGCCCGAACCGTATCGCAGGGCCTATTAGGCCTACTGATCGCTCCCACAAAATCACAGAAGTCTGCCAAATAAATCGTTGGTACTTAATGTAATATATAAGCCCTACTGAATATTTACTTTTTACAGAAAAAAAAGCTGGTATAATAATAATTTTAAGATTCAGGTTTTCTTACCATCAACCGCTTTATATCATTATAGTTGATCGTAGACCAGCGAAGATACTACTTCATCAACCGACACCAACAATACACAGGAAGTCATCCACTAAAATACGAAATGAAGAGACTGCTAGGAGTTCTAGTGACAAATCTGATTCTTCGACAACGAACAATCAATCTCATATTATTGAAGACGGTGGTGATATTACAAGTTATCAAGATGCAGTGGATGCACAACCAAAAAATATTGTTATTATCGTGACCAATAAAAGATCTGGATCTTCATTTTTTGGAGAATTTTTTAATCAAAATCGAAATGCATTTTATGCATTTGAACCTCTTGTGTATTTTACACAAATGGCTCTAAAGCACCAGATTCCCGCTAATGTGTTCGACTCTCTTTCAATTAAAACACTCAAGTATGTTTCAACATGCGATCTATACAACATTCCTTATTTAAATATGTGGTGGGAAACGTTCAGAAAGTTTCTCTGCAGGAGTACACGTTGGTCAAGTCTATGTAAAGACAATAAACTGAGAAAGGTATCAATAGAAACGGCACTTGACACGCTCGTTAAAATTTGTAATTTGTCTAAATTAGTTGCTATAAAAACTATTCGGTTAGCTGACATTGCCTCTTTACGCGAATTTGTTGAAAAGTACAGCATAAATGTGAAAGTGTTACATTTGGTCCGTGATCCCCGAGCTGTGATGAATTCAAGGTGGCACTTAAGTTCTCCAAATTATGACTTTCTTAGAAAGAAGGCAAAGGTCAAAGATGAAATAATTGACTTGTGCCAGCACTCTGTACGGAATATAAAATACGTATCATCTCAACCTGATTGGCTTAGAGGGCGATATAAACTTGTTCGATTCGAAGATGTAGCAAGTTTTCCACATGAGTGCGCAAGACAAATTTATCAATTCTTGGGAGTAGAATATCCACTTGTATTGGATGGATGGATAAATGAAAATACTAACAAGGATACAGCGAATCCATATGATACTAAACGAAAGTCGGCTCGCATCATTAATAAGTGGAGGAATGAGATGGACTTCAACAAAGTGAACGAGATACAAAGAAAATGTCCACAAGCCATCACGTCATTAGGATATAATTTAATGAATGAAAGTCAACTTGTGAATGTAGACAATTGTGAATCTTATCTTAAACCTGATGAGTTACCTTTCACTAAGCTTCATGGCATTTTCTCAAGTCTGTCAATCAATCAATGAAATCAATCACGATAAACAATGTATCATTAGAGGCCTGCATGTATACCTTTTGGGGGGGGGAGGTTGCGGATCTCCTAAAAGGCACAAAAGTTCCGCTGTGTAGGCCTGCCAAGTACTAACAGCGGAAAATTTGCAGGGCAACAAGTAGAACTCGATTAGGCCAATTAGTGCACATATAACATATAATATGCTTAATCGTAAGACAAATAACTCATTTTTTTTATCCCAAATGTAGGCCTATAAAAACACAAATTCGAAATAAATACAGTGTATTCTTTTCCTTCCTTACCGGTATTGTTTACATGCGGGCTCTAATGTGCCCTCGCACTCGTACGGCGGTCGTTTCCTTTCACTAATAGAATTCGCCCAAAATGCGATTTTTTTAAATACACGAATGGGCAGTTCAATATTTAACTTCGAAGTTCTTTATTTAATGAAAGCGGGATGCCCACACACAACAAACAAAAACGTACAGTAAATCTTTACATTCGTTTCTTCATTTCGGAAATGTATTTATAGAATAGCTTTAAAACATACAATTAAAAAAGACCAACAAAAGAAGATAAAATACATGATTGCCAATAGAAATACAGACGTCTTAATTTTCTTCTTAAACTTTGACGAAAAAGTTGGTTAATGAGATAAAAACCAGTTAATAAGATATATTTTTGATATACAGAACATATAGCAGACAGTACTGGGGAAATGTCAAAGCAACAGCCTAATGTGAATTACATGGGTTATTTTAAATGTTATGATTTTTAAAATACATTAAATGACGCCGACATTATAATTTTTAATTACTTCCGTAATTCTGTGTAATCTTTTCAATAATACCAATAACACATGCAACCGTAATAATTAGAAAAGATTACAAACATTTTTTGTTTGTTTTTGTTCTTTTGATGGAACGTTTTAAACTTTATTTAATAATTTGAAAAATGAAACAATGTGTAACAAGAAAATAAATTACAGAGAAACAAATTATTATCTTAATTACAATATAATACGATTATTTCGTCAAATCACGATACAAAATCAGGAACTCAATTGTTCCTAAAAGGACATTAAAATACATCACGAAACGCTATAAACACCTTCGCGGCCTCCACCGCTGTTAGAGCTTGTCTCGGGGCCTTTGGCCCCTTCGTTTTGCCACCGATACTTTGTAGTTCCGCATTTACAATTTTCGCACCCCACCCTCTCCCCACGATAGGAACCACAAGAAATTAAAAAGAGATATATTTCAATATTAGATACTTGATACCTGCAATTTGTGCTAGCTGTTTTTTTTTTAATTATCAAAATTAGCTTTCTTGCAACGTTACCGTATCGATAATACTAGACTTAGTATGTATAAGGTCACTGCATTGTAATGTCGTGTTAAAACATCAATAATCACCAATGCAATCCAAGTCCATCTATTGTATTTAGTTTATAAACAATTGTATTTTTGTTTTGAGTATTAATTATTGACGTCGTGTGACTGTACAGGCGTGGATCCAGAGGTCATGCTGAATATTGCATAGATGTGTGTCTATCGGATAAATCGCCCTAGCGAATCGGGCATTTTGTCGGAAGGTAGTTTTTTTTAAATAGGCATAAATATATGACTTCATGTATAACATTTATACATTATAACATCCTTTTGACAGGCCTAAATCAATACATTTTTAATAAAAACAAGGAGTAAAAACAAAGCTTTTTGAGCGTCAGCACAAGAAGAATTTCCTTTCTGTTTCACTATCTACATTATTAAGAAATCAAAATCAAGACATTTTGGATCGTCATAGTAATAGTAAGTAAAAGTGGTGGTGCAACTTGAAGCTGTAGCGATAGAGCTCTGTGTTTCAGAAGCACAACTTATTTCATTGTCATAACTTTTACTATGTTTTTTTTTCTTCAATTCAATTCAATCAAATTGAAATAACATTTATTCAATTAATTAATTAATTAATAATTCAATCAAATATTATATACAACAAAATACAAACAATATAATAATTCATTAATTGGGATCAAACTTATAAAACAAAGCTTGTTTCTTTTTTTTTTTTGTAATTGTTTTAGTTTGACACCGACGAGCCAACAACATAGGGAATTTACTTATAAACTTAATGAAATTATAATAAATATTTCAATCTTCTTTCTAAATAAATTGGCACTTTTTACTGTTTTAAATTTATTGTCGATATCAATACACAGTACAATAGATTGGCCTAATGAAAGAAATAACTCTTTGCATGACTTGTTTTGTTGTCTATCTTCATCCATGTATAAATGCTACCACGCCGTAGGCAAACTCATGTATGATATCATAATATAGGACTATTAGAATGTCACGCTATGCTATGTTTTACTCTCATCGTTTTTCTTCAGTCCAACGATTTTACTTGCAGCGTATCCATAACAGTAAGTAGGTAAATCTTTGCCTAGCCACTAGGGCACACAAGGCTGGAGCTTATCCCTACTTTCTGTAGGGTGAAGCGGATGAGAGTGTAATACTCCACTTGGGTGGGACGCTGGTCCACTGTAGGTTACTCCCAGCAATTTGCTGGTACCCATTGATACAGCCAGGTAGACTGAAGCAATGTAGATAAAGTGCCTCGAGGTTGGGAAACCAAACCATTCCCGCTGCGCCAAACCGATTCCATTCATCCTAGTAATAGACCTACAACACCTGGCGTTGTAATCTCTTTTTATACTTTATTATGGATTTGATAAGCTAAACCATTTAAAAAAAAGTTTGAGAATTAAGTTTGACCTTTTGGTAAACATTATTATTGTTATTAGGCCTATTAGTAATAAAATGATCGTTGTTATTATGGTTATCGACATCATCAACCACATTATTTATTATTATTATTATTATTATTATTATTATTATTATTATTATTATTAGTATCATTATTATTTTCATTATTATTATTTTCATTATTATTATTATTATTATTATTATTATTAATGTATTATTATTATTATTATTATTAAGCATTAACATGCAATTTTAATTAATATTATACGAGCACAGGCACTGGGTCTACTAGTACGTTTGTAAAAGCGGGGTAATATGGATCAGTTTAGGGTAAAAAAGAAAGATATGTCATGAGGTCTGGATACTTGGGAATCGATATTTAAATCAACATGGCTCCCAAACGATCAAAAGGATCGTTTTAATGTGTTTCTGCATTTTAAAACACTTACACTACCACCCCCTTACTCCGCCTTCAATTGTTATGTTTGAGAGATGGTGGCGCTTTGTATGCCCCCATCTTTTGGTCTATATTTGGGTTAGCCTGTTTTACAATTACGCTAATAAATGGCCGAATAGTTCCCACTATTTCATTCTCTGGTCTGGTTTGCTTTATTGGTCCCAATCGTGTCCAACAAGCCGAAGTCAAATATAATAATAATAATAATAATAATAATAATAATAATAATAATAATAATAATAATAATAATAATAATAATAATAATAATAATAATTATTACTACTATTACTTTTATTACTATTTAAATACAATTTTTCATTGTTATGAAGTATTGTTATGGTTCATTATCACCAACACCACTACGACTAGGCCTACTACAAACACTACAGTGGTGACGCCACAATTTGTCGACAAGTGTCGAACAAGTCCTACAGGTAGTCTGAGTGGCCTATATTAGAACCCTCGAAATACAATCAGTAGTGGGAATCAATCTATCAATCAATCAATTAATCAATCAATCAATCAATCAATCCATCAGTCAATTAATAAACCAATCAATCAATCAACTTATTGATTATCAAAATAACACCTCAAGATCGACGGCATCCAAACTGACAATATAAAAAATAAAAGACTAAAACTAGGCAAGCAGTTATTATTGATAAACGATACTGATGAGAAATTGGGAGAGATTTTATGGTTTAGATTTGGGACTACTACTACCACTGCTGGTACTGGTACTGGTATGGGCATTTATAATGCGCCTCTTCCTTGCGGATATAAAGCGCACTGCTACGTTATATAGAACTGTGCTCCTACATTTGGAGTTTTTAGGTGGTGCTTTACCTACCAAAACAATACCCAAAACCACTACTACATTTTTTCTAATATCGTTGGCATATTATTTCCATGTTTATAGGTGACACCGCACTGGTGCCATCCGGTCTATTATGAAATAGAATCAATAGCATATTAATTTGTTCTTATTGTTTTGCTAAATTGTTGATTATTTGTCATTTATATTTTGCTAATTGATCTGTGTATTATTTTTTTGTTACTAAATGTAGAGACGGTATGGGGTAGTACTCATTTGTGTTTAATATTGATAACGCCTCGACTACATTTCTCAACTGTGTCTGACTATTCGTTCATCATATCGGTTATTTATCTTTGTAAGATTCGTAAATGGTTTTGATACCGCTCCGTAAGTAATGAATGGAACAAAGATATACGCTATGCATTCGGTCGTTAAACACATCATTTTATTTACTGCTGCCGTAGCATTTACATCAACTATACTGTTGCAAGGTAAGAATGTTGTTGCTTCATTACAACAGACAGGCCGACATGGATGATGAGAGTGAGTGACTGACGGAGTAGATATCGTGTAATGGATAGATTATAGGCCTACCTTTCTAATCCCGAGCAACTCGGATTAGTCCTATCAAGACTTTTATTGTCCCAAACAATAACAGCTCTCCAAAGTAATTCCAAGTTTTACAAATTTACAAAAGCGTGAAACTTGTTATAAAAACTTCTACCAAGGGAAGGAATGCTTTGCCTTCCAGAAAATGCCTTACAACATCCGACTCGGTAGTCATTTATACTTCCGAGTGGAATGAAACATTAAAGTACTTTACACAAGTGTTATACACTTACGACCATAGCCAGGATTTTGAAAAGGTGGGGTGGGCGTTATGCGAGGTACTTAAGACCCCGGTGGGGTATAATAATAACTTAACATTGGCGGATCCGGGAATTTGAAAGAGAGGTGACCCAGGGAGGGACTTTCACTGAAGAACCACCGACCTCAGCCCCACAGTGTTTGGGGCCAATGTAAAAAAAAATGATTAGGGCACCTCTAGAGGGCTGGAAATTACACTCTCAAACTCAGTAAATTTGAATATATTTTTCTCTTTTTTTCCATTAAAAAATTCAGAGGGACTGGGGGCCCTTAAATCCGCCACTGCTCAAAACATTCTTTATCCAAAATAGTCATAATCATGAAAAATGGCCATGGAAAACCAGATCACATCCTAAAAATAAATGTATGTGCCTCGCTTCAGCAGTCACTTAAGACATACTCTAAGTCAAGTGCCGAACTCGATGGAGTTTATTGTCATACCTAGGCAGGGAAGGGCGAAGATCTGTTTTGAAAGGTGGTAGGGCGGGGGAATTTCGTGATCGACGCCCACCTCAGACCCACCATTGTTGGGGCTGAGGTCTAGATGGCCAGAATGACACTTCATCGTCATCACATCACCAATAGTCAAAATGAAGAAGAACTTCTCATGATCTTTTATCAGGGATTTTCGGCAACCATAGAGATCTTAATGTGTGATGTATCACAGAAAATAAAGCTTTAAAACATTTTCTTTGAGTATGCACATAAATCAGAGCCGTGATTTCACAGGCACCTCAGCCCCAATCATGGTGAGAAAATTTGGGGAAAGAGTACCTCTGGCTGGAAATGACCTTTTATATTATAGTAAAATTCATCATCATAACATCACCATTATATAGTCAAAATTTCTCATGATGGTTTTATCAGAGATCTACTTAATATCTAGGCCTAACTATAGCTTACCAAGCTTTAAACTATAATAATTATGATCAACAAATCACAACTTTTTATTCGTCTTTTGCACAATTTTCTTTACTTATTATTATTATTATTATTATTATTATTATTATTATTATTATTATTATTATTAACATTATTATTATTATTATTATTATCATTACTACTAATATTACTACTACAGTAGTAGCATTATTAAACAAAACTTTTTAAAGCTTGGAATAGATAAAACCAAATTGAACCATACAATATCACATATTTGTATCTTAAAAGACCTGTCCTGGGATTTATGAATTTAATATTTTTTTTAATCACGCCTATGTGTTATAATTATAGTAGACTTATTAGGCCTATATGTGCTGATGCATATTTACATTGAAGTATTCATTTTGAGTGATCCCAGGAAAAGAATATGTATTAGCATAAACAAGCTTTAAAATTTTAACACTGTGTACAAAAAAACGGGGGGGGGGGGATCCCACGGCTTCCCCTGGATACGTCCCTTTTAGGTCTCGGCTAGACATTCTCTCAAGCCTGGCAGGGCCTTGGTCAAAACATGATGCAGACCTGTCTACATTTTTATTGTCAATATTCCGTTTTACATAAGAAGCCAGACAGAATAATTATTGACAATAGCAATGAATGGAAAGAGAAAGCGTGGCACCCCGAGATAGATATGAAATTCGAAACTTTGTTCAAAGAAAACTGAATTGGGAATTCATCTTCTTTATTAAATTTTGTCGGAAATTATTATGATACTATTGGTACATCATTACTTATACGTACGGATTCACACCGACTGCTAAAGTTAATAATTACATTTGTAAAATTAAGTCCTTTTTTTATATCAACAGCGTACATTCAATTTTTAGCTTTCATAATACTCTAGATGAAAATTTAAGATAAAAGTTAACTGATACATTGAAGGTAAACATATCCTCTGTTTAAAATCCTTTTTGTAAGATATTAAATAAATTTGTTGCTATGGCCTGTCCAAATACAAAAAAAAAGTACTAGCTGTGTAAATGCAATTAAGTATTTAGAATCAAACTATTGGTTTTGCCTTTAATAAAGATTCCAGTTTCAACGTGCATTTAATTTTTAGTTTTCACAATAAATACAATCTATGAAATCTTTGAAATTGCTGATAATCTTTTATGTGAAGGTGGATATTTCTTTTTCTGTTTGATACATTTGTGTTACAGGCCTGTCTAAATGCAGAAATTCAACCTAAATTATAACATCATCCGCTTAGACCTACTCTTTATATCCTTATAGTTGATCGTAGACCAGTGAAGACAATGAGTCAACCGACACCAACACTACACAGGAAATCATCCACTGCAACACGAACTGAAAATACTGCAATGCGTTCCAGTGACGAAATTGATACTTCGACAACAAAAAATCAATCACATATTGATGACAGTGGTCATGTCATAAATCGTCAAGACAAAGTGGATACAAAACCACATATTGTTATTATCGTTACCAATAAACGTTCTGGGTCTTCATTTTTGGGAGAGCTGTTTAATCAGAATCCAAATGCATTTTATTTATTTGAGCCGCTGCAGTGTTTTACACTAATGGCTCTAAGGAACCAGATTCCCGCTAATGAGTTCAACTCTCTTTCAATTAAAACACTAAAATATATTTCAACATGTGATCTCTATAATATTCCTTACTTAAATACTTGGTGGGAAGCGTTCAGAAAGTTTCTCTGCTGGAGCACTCCTTGGTCAAGTCTATGTAAAGACAATAAACCGAGGAAGGTATCCATAGAAACGGGACTTGACACGCTCGTTAAAATTTGTAATTTCTCTAAATTAGTTGCTATTAAAACAATCCGGTTAACTGATATCGACTTTTTACGCGAATTTGTTGAAAAGTACAACATGAATGTGAAAGTGTTACATTTGGTCCGTGATCCCCGAGCTGTGATGAATTCAAGGTGGCACTTACATTCTCCAAATTATGACTTTCTTAGAAAGAAGGTCAAAGACGAAACAATTGACTTATGCCAGCACTCTGTACGGAATACGAAATACGTATCATCTCAACCTGATTGGCTTAGAGGGCGATATAAACTTGTTCGATTCGAAGACGTAGCAAGTTTTCCACTTCAGTACGCAAGACAAATTTATCATTTCTTAGGAGTAGAATATCCACTTGTATTGGATGGATGGATAAATGAAAATACTAACAAGGATACAGCGAATCCATACAATACTAAAAGAAATTCCTCTGGCATCATTAATAAGTGGAGGAATGAGATGGACTTTAATAAAGTGAACGAGATACAAAGAAAATGTTCACTAGCAATGACGTCATTAGGATATAACTTAATGAATGAAAGTCAACTTGTGAATATCGACGATTATGAATCTTATCTTAGACCTGAAGAGTTACCTTTCACAAAGCTCCATGGCATTTTTGTCAAGATAAATAATTAAGTTTACGGTTTCATATCTTTTATTTTTCAGTTATGACTTCAAATTGTAAAAGGGTATTAAAATTGTCAATAAAAATATACCGAAACTTATATTATTATTATTAATAATATTGTATTGTATTACTAATATAATTATTATCATCAATGTTATTATTATAGATGTTCGACAAATCAAATGAGGTATATTTATTTATACACTAGATAGTGTAGTGTAATTTCGGTTACCGGTTTTTTTTTCTGTAATTATCAAATTAATTTTCTTGCAAAGATATCGATAATCGGAAAATACTGGACTTGGTATGTAAGGTCACTGCATTTTATTGATTTTCAGTCGTGGTAAAACATCAATAATCACCAAGGCGTTATTATTAATATTATAATGATCATTATAATTATCAAGGACACCATTATTATTATTATTATTATTATTATTATTATCATTATTATTATTTAGAAGATGCGTCTCACTTATTATAACTAGATCTAGCTGTCTTATTGCTAAATCCTTTAGCAAAGTTAATTCATAAAAGCTGTGCAAGCTATGTTCACTTAACAGTGTAGAAAATGAATTCTACTTTGTGTTAAAGGGTCAAGTTTATAGTTTTTATCTTATAGATTTTAATAAAGTGAACGAGATACAAGGAAAATGTCCATAAGCCATGACGTCGTTAGGTTACAATATTTTGAATGAAAACCAACTTGTATAGACAATTATGAATCTTATTTAAAATCTGACGAGTTGCCTTTTACTAAGCTCAATTGCATTTATTTCAAGTGAAGAAAATAATTAGTTGTTATATACTTTTGATCATCCACGCCCTCACCCACATCCTCTATATTATAGAACAGAAGTCCCGTTCACTAGGTCCACGCAAGCAAGACATGTACACCACAGATACCCTATTATAGTGGTTTTATTACAATTTTGTTAAAACAAAGATGAGACACAAAAGTATTTATTCAATATCACTTTTATTCATCAAAAATATACACCAAAACACATTAACATTCATATGAAATTTAGTGAATAGATGGAAACGAAAAACCCCAGACTTGTCGAATTAAAAGAACACGCAGGGGTGCTACAAGACAAAAACATCACAAACAAATTCGGACATCAAAAATAAAGAAACACGAGGAAAAAAGGAACAATAAGACAGTTCAGCGTCGAGGACCAGACGTTCCCATGGCCAGAAGGCAGTTAAATAGCGAAACTAAATGTTGAATAGAGGCGGGTTTATCCAGGTGGGTTCATCTCTGGCGTAATAATGCTATGAGCTGAAACTAAGGCAATTTTTGAAATTTTGTCTTTAAAAGGCTTAAATGATATGGGACAATTAATAGATTTATATGGATAGTTTTAAGGCGTTTATTGTTGTCGTCAGAGATAAACCCCCTAGAACCCACCTCCAGAGCAACAAAATCGACCTTGAACCCAGAGCCGAGGATGTCCGAAACCGATGGGGCATATTTATTAGTTTTTAATGTGTGGACGTTATCAATGCCCAGCTCAAATGGAACGGTGAGTTCCATGATGAAGAGTTTCTTTAAGTCTGGCCAGAGGATACAAAGATCAGGAATCAAATTAGTGATGGTACACTGTAGGGCACAGTGGTGGAATGAGAGGCATCCTGGGTTCTGGGGACAAGGTCACAATTAACAATCGGAGGACGAGTTTGGCCTGCTTTAACCCTTTCCTTACCGGAATCGGCTGTAAATGTGAGATTGTTGTGCCTCCACGTAAGGCGGCCCTGATCCAGGGAGCGCCTAAAAAAATTGAGGACATGATGCAGGGTACGATTACCACAGGCCTAGCATTTCTCTGATACTTAATCACCATCTTTGAAGGTTAACTCTGGTATTCAGAGTGTCCCCAAATGAATTAAACATAAATTTGAGAATACCTGAAGGCAGATTATAGACCATTTTATTAGAATGAGGATTCCTGCTTAGCCAACAAATCATAAAATCGACCCTGAACAAGAAGCCCCCCCTCACGTGGAGGTTCCATGAAGATTGCACGTTGGAATTTAGACTTGGCACTTAAGGTTTTTAAGAGAAGAACATGGATTTTCGTCACAAACTTCTTTATACAGTACAGTGTTTCAGCTTTATTTGCACATAGAAATGCACATCAAGTATAGAGTAGAAAAGTAAATGCATAAATATAAATGCAAGAAACCGTAATCTGAGATTTCATACCCTCGCCATGTTTTGCCATATCTATAATAGTTGATTCGATCGATCCGCCAAACAAGGCCTAACATCATTTTAGGCATCGCATGACAAGCCCTTCAATCTGATAATTTTGCAAGCCGACGGGACCGCTTCCAGTCCGCCAGCCATAAACAGTCGATCCATTCGAGCTGGCTCTGTCGGCTGTTGCGTCCCGAAAATATATAATGCAGATTTTAATAGGGTGTAAGGATGGATAACATCAATCAAGTCAACCTTACATCCCACCTGGTGCACCCTGTGCAACGGAGAGCAACGCCTCTCTGGTAAACGAGGAAATGGCTAAGGAGGAACCCCGAAAATAAACCACGATGGGTACAATGAATCATCAACACACAACTGATATACTGGACCCATATAATAAGCTAATTCACAAAACTATGAAATTAACAAAAATACAGCACTTTCCACAAGGACACATGTACCACAACTTTTTCATCAAAAAGATAATATCATAAGTTATAGAGCTTTAGATTTCAATTTGCAATGCTTTTGTTTACATAACCTCAAAATCGGAAGATTACACAGAAGCAGATTAGCACCATAGCGCCCTCATTTCAAATTGTTATATGTTATATAGCACTGGGAAAATATTACAAGTCTGTCCATTATTACCTTAAGAAGGAGGGTATGTATTCACTGCCTGTCAGGATTACACAAAAACTAAGAAATAGATCATCATACAATGTAGTAAAATGGTACATAAATTATTAAGAAAAAGAAGATTCAATCTTGGAAGGTAAAATGTCAAAAGGAGAAGATCAATGTTGCAGAAATCCGACTTTTCTATAGGCCCTATATATAATATTCTTTATTGTCAAACTCATATAAAAAATACAAATTCGAAAATTGACGTACTTGCGACGAAAAACAAAGAAAACAATCATTCATTTAAACAACACAAAATGATAAAAAGCCCATTATACAATAAAATCAATGACACAAAAGTATGCAAATTTTGCTGACAAAGTTAAAATATTAATAAAATATGATATAGTTGGGCCTACCAAAAATATATAAAATGAGTGTTAAAATTGTGAAAAGGGTAAAAGATGGTATAAAGTATCAAGGTAAAACTTTAAAATTGGTTGAAAATTTGAATTTAAAAAAGAGCATTGTTTCATGGTAGCTACAGGTTTACCTAGTCCATCTGCCATTGTACTGTCGCATAGCGGAAGGGAGGAACGAATTTCTAAGACGTTTTATCCTGGGATAGAGAACACAGCGATTTAGAGGGTGGTGTGTATCTGACGTTATCTGTTCCAATTTCTTTTCCATAGCATTATTACATATTTTTTCAATGGTTTTAACATTAACACCAATTATATTGCTAGCTGTTTTTAACCAGGCTATTGCACAGAAGGTAACAGATTGGATAACAGATTCATAAAATAGTGACATTACTTTTGTGTTTACCCTGAACTGTTTCATTCTTCTTAAGAAATTTATTCTTTTGTTATTCTCGAGGGTTTACACAGCCTGTGTATTATTTGGTATTCTAGGCACAGTACTGGGCGGAGGTATATAATCTACCGAGTGTGAAGTGTCTGCTCTAGTTTGTATTTACTGTAATTAAAAAAGCAAAGCGCCTGTCTATCATCATCCTCGTCGCATCGATTGTGTCCTTGGGCAAGGCTCTTTACTTATGTTCACCTCACTCCACCCAGGAGTATGGGTACCTGGTGGATGGTATGGCATTGAGTGTATGGTTCCTACGCGAACAAGCAGCAATAGCCAGGGATACTCCCCAGGGAGCAGAGAATGTTGCACAATGTGCGGGTCTGCCAAATCAGTATCCAGGGACCAGAATAAGTGATCAGGATAATAATGATGCTAGCCCCCATGTATAATCGCCTTATATGATCTGCGGATTGTGATAAGCGCTATATAAATTCTGGTTAAAAAAAAAATGTTTTGTTATTTACTCCATCTGCTGCAGGTTCTTATTAGTCATATTAGTTCGGTAAGTACGTTTTGTGAAAAAACGTTCCTGTTTGTTTTAGACGAAAATAAACAAAAGAAACCCTAACTGAAAGTTATGGGTTCGATTCACACCCTAATTACTTGCAAGATTTTTTTTTCATAAGTACTTGGGGACGTAATAAGCATTTGTTATTATTATAACACATGAGGTTGGAAAAACCCCCAAAAAACACATCATTTCGATACATTTTCATACGCAAAAAATCATCGAAATAGTTATTATCATATTTATAATTATAAACACATAGGCCTACCGTATGAGAATTCATTATTCAAAAATGTTAGTACCATACAGTAGAAGGTGCCGGCGCCAGCGTCTGAAATCTGGGTGCAAGAGAGGGAAAGGTAACATTTTAGGGGGTGGGGATATATTTCCCAGCAGGCCCGAGATACAGTTATAACTTGTCACAACACATAATAGCAAGTAACTCTTCTATCCATGTGTTTGTTATTTTTATTTAAATGCTCTGTATATTTTTTACGAACCTAAAAAGTTGGTTAAATGCATTGTTTTTAAGTGGCCAGTGGCCTTGAAATGACAGACAAATCGATGGGAGCGCTTAATTGTGTTGGCCAATCTTACAATGCATTTTTACGGCAAAATGGGGGTGGGGTTGGGAGAATATTATCTCTGCTGGCGTAAGGTAACGTTCAATATAGATGAGGGAACGTACCGGTACCACTTTATTGAGTTCAGCTGATACAAAGACGTACGTTCACTAAATATAATGGAAATAAAGTTACAATATCATTAATCACAAATTATTCGTCAATACGTGACGAATAAGGGATTTCTACATCTCTCACAACATTTTAGCATGTACTGTATAATCCCGTTTTTACTATTTTTTTTGTCATTATCTTACTTGCTATAGGCCTAATCAAAATTATTGGCTTACAGTTCTTTTATAATAAGAAAATTTGTCTTTCATTTGCAAAGGTCTTTGTAAACATTATAGTTAAAGGCGTAGTATTAATGCTTTGGCAGACTGAGCTTCACATATTGCTTATAAAAATCATGATACTCCATGAATTGACCCAGAGAGGGTGAAGGTCGGCGACGTCCGGGACTACCCCCTACGTCCCTAACAAGTTAGAGTGTTTTGTAACGGGAAAAACAGATTATACAGATGTTGGTAGCCAGCAGGTTTTTTCCTCATTTTTTTGTTTCACGCTATTCTAATTATTTTTGGCTTTAAAGTATTTTAAGAAAATGGAGGTTGACAAGACAGAAGACGGTTCTCTGCGTCATTTAAACTTATGTCATTTATACAAGCGTGGCGTGGCATTTTTTCTGGACCCTTCCTACAAATATCTGGACCGATCTCCGTACTCACAAACTCGCGAATTGATCTTTTTTGCGAGTTGTTTTAATTAGGATAAATTAAGGACAAATCGTGGCATTGAATTGAAGTATACAGTATCATAAGTCCCTCTGTAACGTTGAATGACATGTCCGAGTTTAAAAAAAAAAAAAAAAAAAAAAAAAAACCCTTCGCATAAGTGAATTAGATCAGTAA